TAGGTTAATAAGTCATATATTTTTGTCAACATCACATTTATACAACTATACCTATACTTCATTGGATTTAAAGAAAATTTAAGCTATTGGCATAAACAAATTAAGCCAGACGGTATTTATACTGAAAAATTATTGGTTATAAAACACATTTGCTACCTATTAAAAATGATGAACAAAAATTTATTAAACTAACTTTTTACGTAAATTAACTAGTTTAAAAAACTTATAATTAATTTTCTCAGAATAGAATCCACATTTATGTACGTCATTTATCTATTGACAGAAATAATAATTGAAATGTATTTGAAAGGGAAAAGGGCGCTTCGCAGGACGGAGAACCCGCATGTGTAGTCTCTGTTTTATAAATGTACCACACAGCAAATCTGAGTTCAACAGAAGGGTTGTTTTTATCAGAGTTTTATTTTCATTAAAGTGAATTTACTAACTATCAAACTTAAAGGCATATTTACCAAAGGCCACCTCATGAGCTTTTATTAATCTTTTAATTTTTAAAGCGAGTTAAGAGCGTTAACATTTAAAAAAATATATTACATGGTTTTAACTCACTTTAAAAGTGTAATATTTTATAGTCATCACTAACTTTCAAATATTCAGATATCAATAACAAGCCTATAGAGCATTTCTCATATTATTATGCTTCAAAGTTGATAATAGACCAATCCACTCTAATATTTAAGTTAACAATGGAAAATTGGTTTTGCTGAACACAAATTTGCTGCACGTTTCTAACACAGAGACAACTGATGCGAGACACGGGTGAGATGTCCTCTAGAGTTATTTATCCAATACTGATGGGAAAATTGCATTCTCCAGAATCGATCAAATACAGGTTTGAATATTGTTTAATGGTTTCAGAAGTTTGCTTTTCATCCTGCTCTGACGTATAAATATTGTAATCGTCAAATAAATATTTAGAAAAAATGTACTTGGCCTGAGCCAACATACACAAAAATATTAAGACCTTAAGATTGTCAAAAACTTTTAATTGATTCCATATAATCAATTTATATATTCACATTTTTGTAGTAACATCCGTGGCCCTAATACGACTGATGGAAATAAAACACTTTGTTCTATTTATATTTTATGTAGGTATTCAAAGAACAAAAAAAAAAAAAACAAAAAATTTCTTTCTTACGTATTATTATTTACTACACTATAATAGCATTATATAAATATATACAAATATAGTGTTCGGATATTAAAATAATACGTAATATTTAATATAACAACGCATGTCCTATGGCTCTTACTTCGAATACCATAGAAATAGAATATTTAACGTACCTACAATTTAAAAGGCGAGTGAGGTTACTTTAACATGCGATACACATAAAAAGGAATATATAATTTATACTCGTATTAAAGATCTCCACCTCTGATCATGTATTTTGGCTGATGTCTTATATATATAACGTTACGAGTCATGGGACGATACACACGAATGTATAGGTTTACGTTTCGAGATATATATGGCTATCGGATCATATATTATACGCAAGACAGACGATTGTTTCGTACAGCACAACAAATATATACCTATACATGTGATATAAATATAGTATACATATCTATATGAAAGCAAATATATTTTTTATAAAAACAGACACAAAATTTAGTTGTAACAATTATTTCTATTCTTTAACAAAAAAAAAAAAAAAATACGAACAAACAGAGCATTTACGCTCAAAGTGCGTGCAGCATGTGGAGAGGGAGACGAAAAAAAAAAGGTAGACCGTTGTAATTTCGGGACCGAGATTTCGGGTTCACGTTTTTATGTATGTGTGTGTGTGTTTAGAGATAGTGAAAATAATAATAATAATACAGACAATCACACGCGAGTATATATTCTCTTCACCGAGAGTTTGAGAGCGTCGTCCGATCGATTGCATGTGCTCGTTCGCGCCCGGCAACCCTCCCATCCCAAATCCTAGCCCCCGCCCCCGACCGAGCTATTTTTAACGCCGACTCGGTGTATCTCCTCGTATATACCCCTTCCAACTTAATGCCCCACAGCCGCCTCGCCGATTAAACGATGTTATATATATATATATATATATTATAATATTATACTGGAGACGAAGAGTGATCTAGCGGAAGCGAAGGTGTGTGTTGTGCACACACACACACACACACACACACACAACAACAATCGCGTAAATGTGTGAAGGGATTCCACGGGAAAAGCGTACGACGAAGACAAATCGTCTGGTCCGTCATATGCGGAATATGGTCGGACGGCGGCGCAAGGGATAAAAAAAAAATGATGGCGACGAAGAAAGGGTGGAAAAATAAAACGTTAACCATGCAGACTTTTATTTGTTGCCGGCCGGACGACGTGACGCGACGGTGGCGGAGACGGGTCGGCATTAGTGGAATGAAAGTGTGCGCTCGTTTGCGTCTCGTGTCCAACTCTCCGAAGGATATTATATATATATATTGTTACGACAACACGACTGGCAACAATTATTGCTATCGTTATATTGTATATATATATATTCGCAATATTCAATTACTGCTAACATGAAATATATTAAGGTCACTGCACAGTCGAACAACGCGTCCAGATCGACAGAGAATATATAATCCCGATGGGAAATAAAAGTGAGTTACTTATAGCTCTATCAGGTATATAGACGGTCGTGTTATCGAGTCCTAAACTTTTACCCGAAAACATGTGAGTTTGATTATTTATATGTTTGTATATATATATGTATATAGAATATACATTAAAACCGGGCGAGTGGGTGTCATATTCAATCAATTTTCACGTTTTACGGATCACAGTACTTAATAAAAGTCTGAAGAATTGTGATTAAGAGTGTTCAAATGAAAAAGGAATTATGATGACGATTATTTTTGGTCCGTTGAGATTTTGAGAAGGATATTGAGGCGATTGTACGAAAATAGGAGGTATAAGGCAGCTAGAGATACAACATATACAGATTGGAGCACTGAACTGAATATATGAAACACGTACATTGGGTCTGCAACCATGTCCCACCTTATTAGGCTGCCATTTCAAGTCTTTTTGGACAGGAAAACAATAAAACTTATCCGAGCTATTTTAACCGTGGATACCACCGGCATGACAGTGATTTTTGGTGAATGATCATGGAATAGAAAACATTGACAGACTCAAAATGGCAGCCTCTGTAGGTGGGGGACACTTTTCGTATTATACTCTAGACGCACAACCCGCTTTCCATGTATTCAGTTCAGTGGATTGGACAATTGGAGTGATCTAACGGGAATCGATAACTACGGAATAACCCGAAGATATTCGTTTGGATGCTAAGGGTGTGACCAAAAAAGTATCTGTAGTAGGTACCTATACCTACGCAACAGTCGATTTTACGACGAGCCGTTTAAATATTTATAGTCATCGGGTCATAAAAGTGGGGTGATCGTAATTTTAAAGCTGTCGGCGACGGGATTCACTTGGTGTAATTATGTCGGTTAGGTATAATCGTCGTAAGGTGAATGAGTACTTAAGGCACCCCTCGCGGTATACAAATTACGAGGACAGTGTCATTTTATGTAAAAAAACAAAAACAATTCTACCGAGATTTAACATCTAATTCATTGTACTACAGAAATATGTACGTACGAATTTCAAACGATAGGTAGAGGAGTAATAATGAAATCGACGAGAAATCGCCCAAGTTACAGAGGAGCCCAACGATAAATCACGCGTTGTTGTGCGTTTACAACGGTTTTGCACCCACCACCCACACAGAACTGCAGCAGTGGGTATAATACAGCAGGGATTTAAAACCTTGCGATCGGAAACCTTTGATTTCGCGAGTGATGTATTTTGTCGTAAATCTTTTTTTTTTATCAGAATGTGTGTATTACACATTATCACTTCGACGTTCATTCAAATACGCACCACGATACCAGCTATTGATAAGAAGTTACAAATACGCGTGACGTGTACACGACAGTTGTTGTTGTAAATCTTTATAGATTGTCGATTTTGTAACGTCCGTGTTTTGTGATAAATTGTGATGAATCCGATATCGTGTCGTGTTGTTGTCGACGAATGAATTCTACAATTTCTATTTTTCAGTTTGCACATTAATTTAGAGTTTAAATTAAATTGTATATTTTGAACCAATTAGTCTGTGTAGGTAAGACCGATTTTTTAATATCCATACATGTATTTATTATAAACTACGATTTTATATGTTACTACAGTTAAATTAACTAAGTAACATTTTTGTGTTTTTCTAATAAATGTAACAGTCTTGTAGAGTATTCGAACATATCATGTATTCAAACATTTAATTTTTATTCGAATACTATATTTTAAATACTTTTTGAAAAAATGATTAGAATTTCTAATCATGTGTTCTGAATATTCTTTTTTAACTCAAAAAGTATTTGATTTTATAATTGTAACAAAACAAATTTTTCTATTAAAAAACATTTTGAGTTATAAATAATAGTTTTTCTCTTTGAATGAAATATTATTGACCTACTTTAATTTCAAACCATTTCAAAACTGACAAACCTTAACGGAAGGGAAATATCTTCTAATAGTATTCGAATACTTTACTCATATATCCAATTACAAAATAAAAGAATTGTTTGCAAGACTGATATATGTACAGATGCGTTAACATGCGCACTGTTTACCACGATACAAGTGTTTTTATTTTATAATTTATACCTATGTACTTAGTGAAAAATTAAACACAACTCGCATCAATTAGTTATTTAATACAACTGATATCCAATTGAACTACTACTACTACTACTACTACTACTACTACTACTACTACTAACTACTACTAACTGCTACTTATACCCGGTTAAAGTCCCCGATTTAAGCTTATATTATGTATATCCATACGACAATTTCAAAGCTGACTTCGTTCGAAATCGATATCCCATATTATTATTTATTAAAACACTGAAATATAGATAAAACCGTATGATTTCACGGTACAAGCTAAAATAGCAAAACAACTTACTCCTTGGTAAGACATGTTAACCATTCATAAGCCCAATTACACCACTCCTTGCGGGGCTAATGAAGCGTTCTTTTATTTCGAACACCGCTAGTCCTTGCAGGTAGCTCCTTACAGACAATTGACCCGAATTATTTATTGCTCAACGATCTAAAAACACAAAGTATATGCAATTATTAGATTACATCTGTATAATATATCCCTTATAAATAAGTGTATTATGTTATATTTATTAATGTCGGTTTACTAAAACCCGTACGATTGAGAGAAGTATTTATTATTAAGACCGTATATTAAGCGTTCACATTCGTTTGATGTTTGAAACTTTAAGCCACCGCAGCCGTCGTCGTATAATACACTAAATAACGCCACTCCCAGTCATTCCTATCACCTACCCGTGTAATAATTATGATAATTTTATTTGAACATCCTTATAGTTTATCTCACTGCTAACCAGTCCATATTTAGATCAATATTGGTGGTTAGTATTAAAAATTAATTAGCCCGAATCGCATGGTTGATCGCTTGAGTAAACTTATACACACTTTCATGTTTTTTGTACGAAATAAACTATAAATTATTTATTAGCGGAGAAAAAAATACGATCTAGCGATGGAGAGAAATATGAATATTATTAAACAATTTATTATTATGCTGCATGTAATTACTATATGATTATAATACACGAATAAGTAGTGGTCAATGACCAGATACTTAAAATATTTAAAGTAGCTCACTTGTTGGAAAAGGTTGGAGACCCCTGATATATACCTTATGATTGAACAAGGATACGTTATTATTTATGTACGCAGTGTTCGAATACTTCGTTTATTTAATATAATATTATTATAATTTTTAATCGAAGAATACTACATTTTTACGTCGTCACTTTTTTTTCATGTGTACTGTAGTCGGTATTTTAATTACATTACCCGGCCACTTTTTTTAAAATTTGTCCTATAATTATTGTTGTTGTTTTTGTTGTTCAAACTGTAATATTAAAATAATTGGACTGAAAATTAATCAATAAACTTTACATTAGGTATGTACGATAATTGAATTAAAAATCCATAAGCAAATTAAATTGAAGACGGCGCATTGTGTATGCAATATTAAGGCAGATAATATATGCTTAGAAGTTGATCAAATTCGGAACTGAATCACAATAAGCGCGAAGAAGATTACAACTAATAACTAACTCTTAATCATCATTACAACGATGCAATAATCATAATATATATTTATTTCTATTATAAATAGTTATATTTGGCATGGACATAAATTCAAATAAAATTATTTGATTAATTATGATTACATAGTATGCAACACAAATACATAATATAATTATGAATATCATAATAATAATTAATCCATAAAATATGAGAAAGCTAAATAAGAAGTTAATAAATCAAGCTCTTAAAGATATAAAAGATAATACTGAAGAAAATGATAATTTGACTCTGCTAAAACAATTAAACTACATCTTTGATTAGTAGATTTTTATAGTTCGATATCACGACCTTTTAAGTAAGTTGCTCAAATAGTGTTTGTACAACTTTCTAATTTTTTAAATGGTTATAAATCATTTTGTTTAATATTTATAAGATACTTATTACTTATTTCGTCTAGCTATTTTGACTTCAGTTTTCATTTATTGGTCTTTATTATTTTATTTAGAAATTTAATATTCTAAACACATTTAATGCTGAATTCAATTTCCAGAACCCGAGGGTCATTGATTACTGTATTCGTTACATCAACGATAGTAATTTATGTATATTATTACGTTCATGTCTTTTATTATCATATATTATATATAAGATATCTATCATCATTGTTTTATCGATAAATATTATGAAACTTTTTATTGATGTATATTTATAGTCCAAATCGCATATACCACGAGGAAATATAAACAACGTTATAAAAAAAAAAGAATAAAAATCAAATCAGCTTTTGGTTTTTAACTTTTTAGTTTTTAATTATAAAAAAAATTAAGTATTTCAGCAAACTTTATGTGCGTCTTACTCATGATAGAACAACGGCGTGGCATTTTTGATTTTTAAAATATTTTCTCCGAATTAAGATTAAAAGTAATCAAGACATTATTTTGTTTTTTTAACTAACGGTGTTATCAACAATCGGCTCGCTTATAAAATGTTAATTGTCTCACCGTGTATTTTGTAAGTAGTGAATTACACTACACGAGGTAAACAGTTAAAGAGGATATTTGATTAATTTTTAAATAATTTCAAAAGGAATCATATGAATAAAACGATTAAGACGTTAAAGAGTTAAGTGTCCTATAGTACAGCACTTTAGCATAATATACAAATAAAACTACAACTTGAAAAATGAGTTTGAGTAATAATAATATGGCTACATGCACATGTATAATACTTGATAGTTTACATTTTAATTATAATAAAGCTACGGCTGACCAATTTGCGTCCAGCGGAACCATTTTTGTAAAATGTCGCTAGCTACCTACGTTGCTCTGTATAATTTTTTGGTTTGACATTCGAGTGATTGGACCTATACTATTAAACTCAAGATCAATATTATTATTATGTGTGTTTTCCGTCGGGTTTTTACGATATTTCAAAATGTTTAAATCGTTTATAATCGTTATTTTTGGATTATTGCAATATTTTACATACCTATAGATAGGTTCTCATAACTCGCTGACATTCAATATCACATGGAGTTCTTACTTTTAAATTTAATAATATAGGCGAATTTGCTCTGTTATCAAAATTAACAACAGTGTTACACAAAATCGGTTCAGTTGAATTCGAATTTGATATATTGTATGTTATGTTCGTTGGACGAAAACAACACGTTATGCATGTGCAGTGACGTCATCTTAAACGTAGTTTGCTCCCCTAAAATGTTAATTTAAAACTGTCCGAGTTTCTTCGGTTTTCAGGTACATCTGAACATAATATACTCGTTCAACGTCGTTTGTTAGTCATGGATTAACCTTATCCACCCCAAAGGGATTTACGTCACTCAAACTAGGAACACAGATTGTAATGGTTTCACAGCCAACATTTTATTGTGAGTCTTTATATTATTTTCAATTAAATAATATTCATCAAATAGACAGCTTAAAAGTTGTTTAAAATAATTATTTCAACTGTTATGTCAAATTAGGCATTATATATTTTAGCATTATCTGTTGTTCTAATATGTAAATAACTTAATCTTTATTTTAAACATCCGTTTTTTTTTTATATTCTTTAACTTAACAATTCTAAAAAACTATATGTGACGGTAATAAATTAACTACCTCAAAATTGTAGTGATTACACAAAATGTATATATAATAGTGAATTTGTTGTAGAATAATATGTGTACTTAATATTAAAATCATTTAAATTTTTACAAAACCACTATTCATCACTTAACATAATATTATAAGTTATAACCTTTCAAGTAAATTATAAAATAACTATAGTTATAACTTATAAATTAAAATTAATAATTTACGAAATTTATTTTCCAACTTATAGTAGGTGTACGTTTTTTTTGTACTTGAAATAGTAAAAATTAAAATAGGTACTATATTATATAATATTATGAAAATATCATATACAATAATACGTTTAATATAATAAGGGATGAAATAGAAAATAAAATGGTATTTATTTATATTGTTAAAGTTTTTTAATTGGATAGGTAGTTATAAATTATAATCCATCATATTGTATTCATATTGTTTATTGGCGACGTATAAAACTGTTTTTTGAAACTCAAGTCAAGTCTTCAGTTTATACGATTATCAATCATTAAAATCACTTTATTTTTGTATTTTAAAATCTGTCATGAATATTCAAAAGGAATTGAGTAAATTACTTTCTCATGGATAAATATAAGGATAGGCTTTCGCACGATTTATACGGAATAATTTATGGTAATAATATTTATGATTCAGATGCGGTGCGTCTTTAATGGTTTTAGTTACCTATTTTCATTTTAAGTCAAACAATAATTAAAAATATTAAATATAATTCTCATATATCTAACGATTTTATTGTTAAATGGAGACTGTATTATTCGTTTTAGAATACACTTTTTCATTCATGCACAGTGCACACTTTATAACCATACAAAATTAATGCATGTGTTTTTTATGAATAATAAAAAAAAACCCAACTCTTTTAAGTCAGTAAACAAATGTTTTATGTGCAAACGTAGTGCGTAACTCGTTATGGTAACAAAGCTAATAACAATTGCTGTACTAAAATAAATGCTGTGCAGAAGTGAACGTCTGACAAAAAAACCAATAAACAGCTTTTTGAGTTTCTGCGACCGTACACATTGTAAACCCAAATAACAGAAAAATAGTACGTGAGTGGTAAAAATAACAAGATGGATAAATTAATGACCAACACGACCATACCAATATTTGCAACAGGTAGACATTTTATTATTATTTTAAGCCAGCTAGTTAAATAAAACGTAACTATGTAATATTATATTATACCAGAAGTCCAGAACGACGCAAAAATACGAACAATAATCTCGAAATCGATGAGAAAATTAAAATAATAATAATAATAATACCAGACGTTAAAATATAATAAAGAGGAAACCATAACCGTGGTAGGCTTTGTGTTTAGTCTTGCCAATGAAGAGCAGGTTATAGATTAATCGGGTGCACTGGAGCGTTTTCAGTTTTTGGGGCTTTATACGTCATTTTATTCCTGGTCGATGATTAATATTTTCAGTGAACAATGGCTGCACGCTCGTCTCACAACGGACGCATTGCCTTTTAAACCTTACCATGCGTTACACACTATAACGACGTCGAAACAATAAATAACAAACGAATAATAACTATCGGGTCCAAATTTATATTCCAATATCCGTAGGTATACGTATTGATTTAAAGCGAAATAATGAATGTCCGGATAACCCGCTATCCGTCCTAACCAAGATACTGCGGTGTACTTTATTGTTATTATAAATTTGAAAAAATTTGTTATAATAAATCGTGGAGTTCAAAAACGATTTAGTTTGCCGCGTATGCTACCATTTTTCATAAGTATTTCCACGACGGTCGCCGGTAGGTTTTCCATTCACATTCCTTCCATCTTATATAATATAATCAAAAATAAGTTGAAGAAAGAGAAAAAAATTAAATA